TTAGGTAAGTTGAACATATTTATGAATCCGAAGACAGATGTAAAAAATATCGATTAACGAATTCCCGGGCGCGCGAACACCTCCCTGGACACTCATTCCTCCGTGGACACTCAATCCACCCTCGTGAAAATAGTATTTATCGACGTATTTCGGTACTTTATACTGTTATGGTCAACCTGATATTTTGCACACACTTAGGTAAGTTAAAAATATTTATGAATCCGAAGACAGAAGTAAAATAAATGGATTAACGAATTCTCGGGCTCGCGAACACTTACCTGGACACTCATTCCTCCGTGGACACTCAATCCAACCTCGTGAAAATAGTATTTACCGACGTATTTCGGTACTTTATACTGTTACGATCGAATTTAAACTTTGCACACACCTAGATATATGAACAATATTTAGGAATCAGAAGAAAAAAGTGCAAAAATCTTATAACGAATTCGCGGGCGCGCAAAAACCTCCGAGGACACTCATTCTTCCCAAATATGCATTTTTATCGACGTATTTCGGTACTTTGTACTGTTACGATCGACCTTAAATTTTGCACACACCTAGATATATGAACAATATTTAGGAATCAGAAGAAAAAAGTGAAATAAATCTTATAACGAACTCGCGGGCGCGCAAAAACCTCGGAGGACACTCGGAGGACACTCATTACCCGGAGGACACTCATTAGGGTGACCGACTAAAAATAACCCAAATCGCTTTAACAGTAACTTTTGCAAGATATTATTGAAAATCGCATTAATTTACGACAAGGTAAATAATATTTTACTAAAAGATGTTGACTGAAAGCGTTGGCTACTTAGAAACTTGATGTAACTTTACCGGAAGTATTGCATCTATTTTTGGTACTTTCGGGGAATTCCCTCATGCAAATAAAGTTAATTTTTGCATTTGTATTATGTTTCATGAAAGAATAAATGCAACTTGGACAAACAATTTGAAAAAGTTAAGATTAAAGTGATTTGGGCTATTTTTAGTAACAAATCCATACCCCTATTGGCGTATAATAGGCGAGTTGGCGTATGATACATGTACACAAGTTAGTGTTTTTCCCCGACCTGGTAAAGGTTTTGCGTTTAGCTCTGTTTCTGACAAAGCTACACCACCAAAACCTCAATCATAGATGTAGCATGGGAAGTGGAGCCTACTGCACTAAAACCATTTTTATTGATTTCTGCATTTGTTTGGTAAAAACCTCAAATTTCTGGACTTAGACAAAAATTCAACGTTAAGGTTTTGCGTTTAGCCACTACATGAGGCTGTTTCTGACAAAATATAAATGCTAGAGCAACCAAACTTGGGACATAGATGTATCATGGGATGTATAGCTGAATGCATTACACTCTTTACTAGCATTTCAACGATTTCTGTATTTTTTTGGTAAAAAAAAATCAAATTTCTGGACTTTGAAAAAACCTCAACGTTAAGGTTTTGCGTTAAGCTCTTGCATATTAGGCTCATCTGATAAAGTATAAGAGCTAGACCAACCAAACCTCAATCATGCATGTATCATGGGTAGTAGAGCCTACGACTCTAAAAACATTTCATGGATTTCTGCACTTTTTCGGATAAAAACCTGAAATTTCTGGACTTTAAAAAAACCCAATGTTATGACACTTTTTGTGTTTTAATTACATGTGTGGTTATACTGAATGCTGCATATACAATTCAATAATGTCTGTCTTTCTCACAACCTATTACCTATTAGGTTATCACATTGGGATATGACCTTCAATTTCAATTCTCTTTAAATATATCCTAAGTACTATGTCAAATGCTTATTATATTGACAAAGCGGGACAGGCGACACATATAATTACGTGTAATTCTTGTTTTTTTAGATATCACGTTTCTTGCTAAATTTTCTGTAGTCTACAGTAATATTTGAAACTGTACCAATCTGTCAAAATACCAATATCCTAAATATGCTTCCATAGTGCCTATGAATCTGAAATAGATTGGATCGCACATTTCAAAATCAATTTGATTGTCCCTGTGACGTGTAGTAGGACTCGATTTACATAACAACGCACTACAGCTCAAGACCATAATTCTGTAATCGTCAATATTGACGGAGGAAGGTATAAAGATGAAGATGAGAATTAAGTGATAAAGATAGTGTCGTCTCTGGGGCTCGAACCCACGACCCTTGGCTCTCTAGCCCAGTGCTCTACCACTGAGCTAAAGGGAAATTCCCAACAGTTGATGCTTGTAAGGCAACCTAATCAATGCACATCTTTTACATTATTGACATGGCGTTCATTTTGACACCTCCAATGATCATATAAATATATGAGTTGGGGTTATCATTTTTACCCAAAGTTTAGGTCAAGTATTGTATTTATGAAGAGATGGAGAAATCCAAGTGTGACAGAAAAGTAACTTAATTGATGTTCATTATTATCTAAAATAATACAATATAGTATATACTTTGAAATTTTACATTAATATACACATGGCCAACTTAATCTAATATTTGAAAATAAAATATCTAAAATTTGAATTTAAAAAATAAATTAAAACCATTTGGACCTTGATCATAAGCTACAGTTCCCACAGCTGGAAATATCAATGATAGGGATATTATGTATTAGTCTATAACCCATTAGGTATATTGTTTGTGCTTGTATGCAGCAGATGGCTGGGCCATTAAACTTCAATAAAACATTACAGCACGTAAATGTATCCTCACTATTTTGTTTGTAGGTAGTATAAAAATAGACTTGATTTATTTCTAATCGAAGATTAAAAACCAACATGATGCATGATAATCTATATCAAACAGCTGTTGGATAATTTCCGTGACAAATGTCAATAAAACTGAACAGACGAGAAATTGATTACTTTTTACACTTACAGGATATACAGTTGAGTAAAATGGCTGCTGGTTGAACACAAAGACACCATACTTAACCAAACATTTTCAGCCGTAGGAATTTTACCGTCCTGTTACCATGGCGACCATACCAGGATCTGTGGGTTTACCAGTGTTTGGAGACAAGTCATACGAGTTCTACAAGGATCCGATCAAGTTCTGCCAGAAAAACATTAGTTCTCACAAATCTCGACTTTTCTACGCTAGATTCCTGAACAAGCCGACAGCATTCATCTGCAGTAACAAGGCTGTACAAGAACTACTGACAGGTATATACACATCTTCAGGCAGTTGAATTTTATTTAGTAAAATTAAGCCTCTAAGAAACTTTTTTCCCCCAACAGAATTAAATCAGATTTCTGTATTTGTTTCACCTTTACAACTGACAGCAATTTCATAAAATTTTAATTATTTGATTTTTGTTACTATTGAAATTTTTCATGCGACTAATGTATATATATCTTCTGTATAACATATCATCTGTCTTCTGCATAGACATGTATATGATAACGTTTCTTCTATATACTTGATTTATTAAGGATGAATTTTTAGCTCACCTGGCCCAAAGGGCCAAGTGAGCTTATGCCGTGGTGCGGCGTCCGTCCGTCGTCAATATTTTACTTTAAACAACCTTTTCTCAATAACCAAAAGGTCTAGGGTGATGATATTTAGCCAGTAGCATGCTGGGATGAAGGGCTACCAATTTTGTTCAAATGAATGACCTTGACCCACTTTCAACCTAATATCCTTGTTTGACATTTAAGGTCACATGCGTCATATGTTTAAATCTTTTAATAGGTTCTTATGTATCAAACACTGATATTCTGCCTGTAGCTGTATTTTAGTCCACTTTTAAGATTACAAGTGTGAGATTAATACCAGGTGAGCAATGCAGGCCCGTTGGGCCTCTTGTTTATCTGAAAAGTTATTTCATTTAGTTTACGCAATTTTATAATGTCTGGATTTAATGCTCAACTAAAATTAGTGTAGAAATAATAATTCAAAATGTTGCTTTTCAAAAATAAAAATGAATTTTTCTAACATCAGATTGAATTATTAAAAAAAGTCTACGCTAATTTATACTGACAAGAACCTAGGTTTGAAATTATGATAAAGCTGTATAATACACGTACATCTTCTAATAATGAACATCCTTGATACTCCAAGGGTTACCCTCACTTACGCTCTCTGTTCCTCTGGATTATATGTCATAGAAAGTTGAAGGCACGCATGCGCGCAGCTAGCTGTTTGATTACTCTCAAGTAAAAAAACCTGACCAATTGCTAGACTGATACCTGTCCTTTGACCAATCGCTAGGCGGATACCTGTCCTTTGACCAATCGCTAGGCGGATACCTGTCCTTTGACCAATCACTAGGCGGATACCTGTCCTTTGACCAATTGCTAGGCGGATCTGTCCTTCGACCAATCGCTAGGCGGATACCTGTCCTTTGACCAATCGCTAGGCGGATACCTGTCCTTTGACCAATCGCTAGGCGGATACCTGTCCTTTGAAGCTTACAGAGAAGGGATACCTGAGTTCAAAGCCAGTCAATTTTACTGTTACACGAACGACAGATTTATTTCATGTAAATCAAAGAATCACACAAATCTTCTCGTCTCATCCACAAGATAGAGCTAAGCCTTCAATTTTACGATGACATATTCCAGGGGTGCAGGGAGTGAAAGTGAATGTAACCCCTGGAGTATTGAGGATGAATAATGAAATGTATTTACTGACTTTGATGTTATTTTGATGATAATAAGAATAATCTGATTTCCTTTAAAATGCAATGCACTGCTATTATGGCATATATATATAACATCAATTCTGAAGTCAAATAATTGTTTGGAGATAAAAAAAAAAAGACAATTTGCTCATTTTGTGGTCAAAATTTAAAAATGTATTTTAAGAAAAAAATAAGTGTTATGAATATTTGTCTCTTTGCAGTCCACAATGATTCTTTAGAACTTGGATACAAGGCCTTTATGGGAGAGATCTTCGGGGACAACATTCTGTTTTCTGATGGTAGGTAATTAAAAAAAGTGACACCAAATCTGAATAACTTGATTTCATTTTGATAAACTATGGATAATTAAAGGATTGAAGATTTTCTGTCGTTTTTTTACAGTAATGATATTAAAACTGCATCTCCAGGAAAATTTAACAAGAAACAGATTGTATATTGCTTAATTTATCTTAGCTAGTTTATAAACAAAAAGAAGCATTATAATTATATTCCCCTCATTAAAATGAAGCTGATTTAAATTCCGGATTAAGTACTGTGTATGTTGGTTTGTTTATTTCAGTAATTGGTAATGTACTCAGTTTGGTAACGAAACATTGGCACCATCACGAATCATACAATGGGTTAATTTACACATGTATTTATGCATTTACGGTAAACCTCCTGTCAGTTCGAATAGGCAGATAGTGCGAACACACTTTTTAATCAACTCTTCCTTTACCGTATGTCATTGTATACTTACATTGAGTTCTTAACCCGATTACATTTTGGAGGTCAGAGGTCAAGGTTCAAGGGTCAAAGTTCACACTATACCACTTTCAAAGCGGAAAGCCAGCGTACAAGATATCTCACGAATCCTTCATATGATTAGGTTGATACATTCACCATAGTATCGTAACATCAAGTTATACGTCTAGTCATCTACATGTATTTACATTTTGATGGTCATAGGTGAAGATTAAAGGTCTAGGGTCAAAGATCATCATAGTTGAAAAATAAAGGGTCAAAGGTCAGCACAGGTGAAGCTTAAAGGTCAAAAGTCACACTTGACAATTTTGAGACGTGAAGTGGGGTGGGGCTCTTGTGTTACATTAATGTGAGCCCCCCGCTCAATTTTTTTTGTATTTTAAGGAGAAGATGCCAGGACACTGCGGAGTTCTCTAAAACAGCTGTTCACCCAGGAATCGGTGGATACTTACCAATTAACTATTGACAGGTAGGTCAGTCATTTCTATTAAGGTTATATTCAGTGAAATATTTTCGTATCATTATCTTTGCTTTTTATTAACAAGTTCCTTTAGGAACTATTTTGTGTGAAAAATAAAAACAAAGTTACAAAAGTACTTACCTGTGTAATAAATGCTAAATTTGTTTTGTTATAATTTCTAATACTTACCAGCTGTGTGTTCAGTTGTAGCTAGCTGGCAGCTGGCCCATCTGACCATCTATTTTGGTGTCTGCACTGGTTATTTTAATTTCAGAGATTTCATACAATCTGATAAGGGAATTCATTAAAACACTGAATATGATTTTTATGGAGAGAAGAAGTTTATTAACTTTTTTTTTGTTATAGTGTGGTGGATAAAGCTGTTGCCAGTATAAACCCAAAGTAAGTATATCATCAGTATTGTATAACCAGAAAACATTGTAATTTAAGCTCCCCTGGCCCGAAGGGCTGAGTGAGCTAATACATGGTGCGGTGTCCATCGTCCGATTCTGAATGATCAATAGCCCCAAATAGGCCTAGGGTGATGATATTTGTCCCATACATGTAGTATGCTGGGATGAATGGCTACAAACTTTGTTCAAATGAATGCCCGCCCGCCCTTTACCCACTTTCAAGGTCCCTGGGGTCAAATATGTTAAAATATTTACCAACTTATTCTGAATAACCTAAAGGTCAAGGGTGATGATACTAGGCCAGATGTAGCTTGCTAGGATGAATGGCTACAGATTTTATTAAAGTGAATGACCTTCACCCATATCGAAGGTCATATGGGTCAAATGGGTCAAAAACTTCAAATTACTTCTCCTGAATAGAAAAAAATAGCTAGGATGATCATATTTAGCCAATAGTCTGCTGGGATGAAAGATTAATTTACCAAGTTCTTTAAAAAGAATGACCTTCATTCATATTAAGGTCACAGGGGTCAACTATTGGGCCTCTTGTCCATTCTTGATCAGTTAAGTAGGCTCCACCCTTTCACATTTTACAAACAAAAATCATTGAAACTTTCACATAATGATTATGCAATAATATGGAGATGATTTTTTNTTTAAAACTCACAAAAAGATAAACTCAAAATAACCCTGCTAATTGACTGAAAAATTATTTTATTTATTATAACATTTATTGAACACATTTCACACTGTGAAAATATATGGATAGATTTGATTATCTAAAGGCAAAAAGTAATAACATACATATTCCATACAATCAGGTGAAATATTAAAAAAAGGAGACACAGTGGTTTTTATTTTATTTATTTGTATTTTACAATTACTTGGATCTGGATGTGATTTGTTTCAATTAAGATTTTGAAAATTGCTTCCCTTGAGATCTAAAAAAAATATGAAATTCAATTAAAATAATGATGTTAAAAATTGTCCCATTTCAACAAATTCTATTCATGATGGTATATGAATGGGATCCGAACAACAGGCTATGCCTATATTAGTTCTCTCCTGCATGCATTTGTATGAATCCACATAAATATATAGATTATAATTTATAGTGAAATGAAAAATTGAAAAAAGACAACTTATATTTTTTTATATACAAAACAGATATCAATGTGCAAGTCATATGGTATAGGGGAGATAACTCAAACTGATTATGGAAGTTACAAGTCGAACTGTGCTACATCTTGACCTCACCAGGGTAATGAGTGAATATTAGCCATCTTCCTTCACTAGATCCTCCCTGTGAGTTTAAGATCCACACAGAGTGACTTGTAGATAGTTAAATATTAAGTTATATACATTGAATATTATGAATAAGCTAAGCCAGTATTGTATGGTATATTAACATGCTGTCCGTTATACAACTACTCGCTATTAATTACTAAGTACAAACAACAATATGCAAGTCCATGTTGATTCATGTCCCATCATCAAAGATGAAACAGAATATAGAAAATACAAATACTGTGCATGTCTCCAATCAAACTTTCCTGATAATCAATATCCAAGTTTATGTTAATTTTTACAGATTGTCACATTTCAATATAGTGTAATACACACAAGTAAATAAAATGCTGATATTATTACATAACATGATAAAAACAACCTATTGTTCTTTATGGAGTTAATCTCAATCATGTACACAAGAAACACCATTCTACTGTCTACTTGGACAATGACAAAATAAACAACCCCATTTTTTTTACATCAGTAACATCACCCCAACACATGTCCCTATGTTTTGCCGAGCCCCGGGGCCAAGATGAATTGTAGTATAAAACCACAGTGTTTGTAGTAAGCTGTCGGGCATGTTTGAACCTAGCTAGTTGACAAGAATTCTACAGCATGTCTATTTCATTGTCATTTATTGGATCTCTACTGTGTGCTAAATTGCCTTTTCCGTTTCATTTCAACTGATACTGTTTACTTTTCATAACCTCGGTGCGACATTGGGCAAACATAGGGCTATATATACATACAATTGTTTGACCGTAGTTGGTGGGACGTTATTGTCGATCCAAACTTGACATCATCCCTCGTAAACTTGTAGGTTCATATTCAGAACCATCAGTATTATTCCTGATATCAATAAAGAATCAGTCAATTCACAATATTGGACACAGTTCAATTACTGGGTATATCATGATTTATTATCTGGAGGTCATCTTGGATTTTGACATTTCAAGAATATTATCACTATTTCTCAGGAAGTACTTTACAGTTCTTTTACCTAGTGCAATGATCAGTTCTATTTCTTTTACATTAAGTGATGTAAATCTTCTTCTTTAGTAACATAGGGCCAGGGTTGTCCTGATATTTTCCTAGTAGGTTCCTGTGATGTAGTGCTAGTTCAAGCAACATATTCTAAAGAACTATAAGGTCTAGCGCCATTATACTTTGGTATGTGATATAGACCAGCATTGTACAATCTTTTTCTTCAAAATTTTGTGCTTAGGTGAAAGTTTAACTTTGAGAATTGGTGGGGGTAAAATGTCAGCATGAACTTTAATGAGAAAATATCTACAAGAATCCTCTTTTTTAAGTTCCATTGTATAAAAAACACTGGGTCCCGATAGTCATCTAGAAGGTACCTGGTATACTACTGTGCTTTAAATTTCTCTTATATATATGACCTTGAGCTTAATTAGCCTAGCTACTTTCAAGGTCATAAGGGACATATATGTCAATAATCAATTAGCCCAGGGTCATTATATTAGGCTGGCAGAATGTCGGACTTACCAGTAAGTGAGATCAAGTTTGTTAGAATCAATAACCTTGACCTACTTCTCAGTGGGTTTTCCCAGTTAATATATGTATATTGTGCAGAAAGATTGTAAAGTGTTTTTCTGCAGATTCCTCAACTTTAAAATATTATTTGGTCTGTATCTATCAAGTGTGTTTAGGTAAATGAAAACTTAGATTATCTATATCAAGGTATAGAGTGGTATTATATACAATCCACTTTAAAGGTCACAGATTTGTTTGCAAACAGCACGGAAAAGTAGTTGATTTGTAGTTGAGTTGTATTAAAGGCCCATTTAGTCTCGAAATTATGATCCTGTGAATGTCTCACAATCTGTAGTCTAGACATTTTACTTATATTCCTATGAATATTTCACAATATGTAGTCTGGACATTTTACTTATTATCCTGTGAATGTCTTACAATCTGTAATCTAGACATTTTACTTATTATCCTGTGAATGTCACACAATCTGTAGTCTAGACATTTTACTTATAATCCTGTGAATGTCACACAATCTGTAGTCTAGACATTTTACTTATAATCCTGTAAATGTCACACAATCTGTAGTCTAGACATTTTACTTATAATCCTGTAAATGTACAATTACAGTCACACAATTTGTAGTCTAGACATTTTACTTATAATCCTGTGAATGTCTCACATTGTTAGTTGATTTGTAATCATGATAAGTTTCCTTTGTCTCTGATTTCCATGTCCTTGTCATGGTAACTAGATATACTAGTTGTTTGGTTACAGGAGTCACACACTGCTGTACTGTAGTAGTTTGACTGTGCTAACATGCCATGACCCAAACGCTACCCACAGGACATCCTCCCTGTCTATACGTACAGCCTGTGTATATACTGTATCTGTGTGTACGACCCTGAGGAACTCACCACCTCCACTGATGAGTAGGACCCTGTAGGTGCCCCAGTCCCCTATGATCAGGTTCCCCACACTGTCATACACCACACCACTGGGGTTAAATCGTTTACCTCTTCTTTGTGGTGTTGCTTTATATGTTCTGGGGATGTCACCTCTATATACAAACAGCTCCTTGAAATCAGTGTTCATCACAACAACATGTCGTTTTCCATCACCACCATCACTTTCACGACTGAAATCAGTGACTGCCACATTGTGAGTGACAGGACACTCTGAGATCCTGCGTGGTGTACACACTAATGGTATCCAAGTCCCTTTAGCCATTGTAGTACACACCATTTTACCATCTATGGTAAATTTGGAGATGTGTTTGGTCATCCCTACAATGACATGGTTACTGGCTGTAATACATATACACAAGGGTAACTCGTTGGTACTGAATCTGTGTGTCAGTCGTCCTGATACCAGCTCCATGATGTTGTTTTCTGTATCACAGACCCACAGTGTGTGTGTGGTAGGTGACAGACTGATTTCACTGATATTGACATTGTGAATGACCTTCTGTATTACTTGACCCTTCCTGTCCAGTAGAGTTAATGTGTTACAGTTCCTGGTCCACACCTGACCATCAGTGGTGGGACATATAGAATCAATGCGACATGGAGACCTCCACTCCTCCACTACCTTGGTCTGTGGCAGTAGTTTGTATGTTGTCACTGCTTCCTTCACTTTTGTTTCTGACCGCCGTTGTTGTGTAGAGGGTTGTCCCCGATCATCAGGTGTTGAGGCTGACCAATCCTCAGTAGTGCAATCTTGGAATGGTACATTATGAAATTTCAGGGGTGAATGAGTTAAGGTGATAACTTTTCCAAAGGCTTGTTTCAAGTGATCTTGAGGATTTCCATTTGGAGTGAAGTTGGCATTACCCAGGACAGGTTTTACAGGGAGACTGTGTGTAGGAGACTGGATCTCACAATATGTATCATAAATCTGTATGTGAGAACCACGCTGGAGAGTTGCTTTACACTCCTGAATTTGTTGTTTGAGTTGCTTCTCGTACATCTCCAGGTCCTGTTTGTATTTCTTTATCAGCTTGGTATTATCCTCTTCCATTTTGTGATAAAGAGAGAGTGTCTGTTCTGAAAGCATGTCCAGCTCTTGTTTTAATTTATCTGTTTGCATTTTTAACTTTTGTGACAGCTTCTCAAAACTACTTGTGTTGTCTTTAAGGAGCGTATCAGCAGAGTTGATGTATTTCCCAATTTGCACAAGGTCTTTTTTTTCTGTTCTGTCTAT